GCTTTCCGTCTCTCCTTAGCGGCGCGGGCGATGCCAGCAACAACACCACGAGGACTTGGGCCTTTATCAAACATGACGGCAGGGCTGTTTTTCAAAACCACACTGGCTTTAGATTTCCCTCAGAATGTTCCGTCCTATCCGCGCAGAAGCAAAACAGCAGCAACATATTTGGAAGAGCCACAGATAGAAAAAATAGCATAAGCTCACTGTTGCATTCCAAGTCTTGCACGAGTAAATAAATGCCCCCCCCCTTGTTGTGGCTTTTTTGTGAGAAATCCAAACCCCTTATGAGGCCTTGCAGAAAGTAGGTGAAGCAGGCCCCTCAAATGAATCAACACAGTGGTGCAATGATGCAATTTATTGTTCGACTTTATGAATATTGCGAACACATGCTATGATACCAACACTTTTCATTCAGCAGGACCATCTCTACTTATTAACCCCACTTGTTGAATAGTTGAAGCGTAAATTGCCAAAACAGTGAGCATAATGCTATAAACAAACTACATCACTGTCGCATGACTACACTTCACCACCGCTAAGCTAAGGGCGGACTCTTGTTCGACGTGATGACGGTGAGTAGTATTATTTAGTTAGCTTGTTTCAGGCATATAACCAAATACTTGCCAACTCATTTCTGCACCACTCTATTCAGAAAACCACTTGTTATGATTAGGCAGGGGGGAAGTCAAGGTACAGTGACATACTATGATGGTATATCTGGTTTGTGCACACTTTAGCACGTGGCTGGGGACCAGGAATGTGTAGTGCCAAGCTGGCGGCAACCCAAGTCAAATTACACAACGTGCATTTCTATCCCCTTTGGGTGTCTCCTGTGGTTGTTCCCCTGAGACAGACAGACACGCTAAATATGGAAACAAGAGAATGAAGACTTGGTGCTTTGAGAGGCTTCGTCGTCACTCGAGCAAACAAGTCGAATATGAACCCTGAATAAAACCGTATAGGCTTCGGGGGATATCTCAATCATGTGGAGTAATGGATATGCATGAACTTCCAAAACAATAGGCTACTGTATGCATGAGGATAAATCCCCCTAAAGATGTCTGGCGGTGGCTCATTTGCTTTGGTGCTATATGCCTGTGACTGCTGTACACCACCACACACACTTTGAAGATTTCCATGGCTCTGGGTGGATATAAGGCCGCTTTGGAGGGTGCGGGATACTGAGGTGACACACAGATCAAATGGCTTGTGTCATCTCTGTCGTTAACCTATCCATCAGTGCTGCCGCTAAAGGTAGCTGTGTGTCTGTGTCTGTGTGTGTGTGTGTGTGTGTGTGTGTGTGTGTGTGTGTGTGTGTGTGTGTGTGTGTGTGTGTGTGTGTGTGTTGCTTTGAGGGACGAGGGTGAGAAGGGGGGGGGGGGGGGGGGGTGACTCTGCATGTCTTTTAACTGTAGTCTGAGCCTTTGCCACCATAAAGGTCAGCGCTTCGACATCTGCTGCTCTCTCTGAACCTCTCCTTTCATAAAAGGGAAGCCGGGAAGAGGAGAGGACCCTGGGGAATGGATGCACGTGCACACACACACACACACGGATCAACTTTTATATCTAGATACACTCAGTCTCCCTTCAACGTGCACTCAGTATATCACCGTCAACACAGCCTTGGAGCTCGGACTGCACGCTCATGCTAACAAATGCGAGAACACAAGGTTTTGCGTCTCAAAGGAAGGCTCTGTAGTATCATTACACCCGCACAGAGACACTTGGCTTTTAGCCTGAAAGACTCTATCGTTGTTCTTTTTTTGGGTGAAGAGATGGGAGGGGGGTGAGCAAAATGGAATCCCGTCCCTCTGGGGCACAGCAAAGGCAAAGCAGTGTTGAAATAAGTGATTCATGCCATTATTATGCCAGGTGAACAGTGCTGCTCTTTCAGCGATCACAACCAGTTTCTCTAAAAGAGAAAAGCAAATGAAAGCAACAGTGTTATTTTCATTTGTTGTGTTTTTTGCCCACACCTCTGAAGATCGAGAGTTGTGTTGCTAATGTGTGCTATTGTGGCAACCCACAACAGTGAGTAAGACCATGCCTTACCGGGGAGAGGAGTGTTTGTGTACTTCTGCAAAAGATAGGGGCCACTTGCACATTTACACCACAAGCGAGAGTAGTTGTCGTTTAAGAGAAAATTTATCAGCAACTATTCTGATAATCGATTAATTGTTTGACACATTTTTAAGTTAAAAGGTCAGTTATTTGCCAGTGACACATTTTTAGATTTTCATAGAAATATTTTTAGATTTGTGACTTTCAGCTTGAATGTCACCGTAGGCTTTGAGAAACCGTGTTTGGTCTTTTCAACATTCAAAATGATATGTCAGAATAATCAGCTAATGAGGGAAATTGTTAATTGCAACGCTGATGTCAAGTAGTGTGCTTACCATGTTAAGTCATACGTTTTGTGTTAACCTAAAAAATGCATTAACATAAAAAGACAAATGTATTACGCCATTTTGTTGGCTTAAGACTTATCCTTCTGGTGTGATCTGATGAAGAAGCAAACTAGATATTCTTCACAGCCATTGTTAAAGCTGAGGGGAGTGTTTGATCATCGTAGATTTTGTGCCGTGTCATATTTGTCATGAATATCAAAGTCTAAGCTACAAGGCTTTCTAGCCATTTCAGGAGTGATACATGGAAATGATTTATGCAGTAGAAAAAAGGTCTGCAAAACAGAAAGTGTCATACACATCGAGTGTCAAACTCCACAGTGAGAATGCCATGTAAATGCAAACACACTTTTCTCCAATATTTGTGGATAAATAGATTTCCAGGCAGCAAGTTAAATTAAGCAGAAAGACACAAACACATGTCTCTAAGGGCAACACTTACGTGAATTCAGTATAACCAACACCTTTAACTCAGATACACATATTCAACCACGGCCTCTCTGTAATGCTATTACAAGAAAGTCATGATGCCGTTAACAAGCCTGTGGTTGTGGAGCCCCTCCCTTGTGTGAAGCCAGCCCCATTCAAACAGTTCATGAAGCTGTGGTCAGGCTCCGTGATGCCTCCAACCGTTACTGTGCACCCGGCCTGCCATCAGCTAAAAAAAGACCCCTTATGGCACTTTAATTTTCTGTTAAACCTCTCTCGCCAGAACACCCGTCAGCCCCACCCCCCTCTCACACACTGACCCCCACTCGCCGAAAAACCCACAGCCAAACACACATGAATTTGGAGATATCATCTGGACAGGTGGCCAGCCACCCAGACCTGACCCGCCTGCCCTCTAGCTTGCCCCCTTCCTCCCTCCCACTCGCTACTTCCCCCCCCTCAACTGAAATCAGTTCAGGTCTGCTGGAAAGCCCCAAGTGAACATGCACATCAACCCCCCCCCCCCCTTCTCTTTCCAACATACACACACCTCCAACAAGCCCAGCGAATGTCTGTCACCCACTGAGCTGTCTGTGGGGATTATAGCATCAAAAGTGCAAAGAAATATGTTCGTGTCTAGCTAACGCGCAGGGAAATAATTGTAATCGCCAAGCTTATTTATGTTGAATAATGTGGTCCCATAACCAAAGATGCAAGGAGTAACAAATCAAGGCAGTACTGCTTGACTTTATGAGGAAATATATCCTTGACATTCTCTAGCTATGATCATTTCAAAAACAGAAGACTATTTTCCCACTTAAATCCTTGGCTGACATACTTATCACAGATATATGATCTAGCGGTAATTACTGAACGTGCACCAAGCCTAATGAAGTCTTTTTAAACATCACATAGATAAAACAACTGTATATGTGACTCAGGGGAAAGTATGCCAAGAGCAGCTAGTTATCTTACGTTAGGGGATCATCAGGGTGAATCATTTGATAATCATGTTTGCAGTGGTTATGGTGTTATGCGCACATGGCTGTGGGTGTTTATCTGTGTTTTTTGTCCTTAGATGCACTGCAGTGTTAGGTTGGAGTTTGTATTAGCAACCTGCTTACAGAGATGCAAATACTATTTACCAGCATTGTCGTCCACTAACAGGAAGCACAAGTCGTAAAAAGTACACGCTGCTATACACTGTGCGTGCGTGGTAGCCCCGAGCTTAAATGTGTATTTGTATTCCACTCATGGCAATTATAATAAAACAAAAACGTTTACACTTTAAGCATAGTTTGTGTAGCCCATGATGGACAGGAGCTAATTTGTTTTACCTGCCCCTTATTCAAAAATAGATGGTCTGTCAATCACAGCAAATACTTACAGTAACATGAGCCAAAAACACAATCACAAGTCAACAAAACAAACCACCATCAGCGAAACAGGGTGCCTGACATCTTCATACTGTGTAATTACGCTTTCTTTATACATTTTCTTAAACCTAAAATATGGTCATACAGCCCTTTAAAAAATGTGGTTAAGAATAACAGTCTAACACCAACTACAGAGATGTACAGCAAGCGTGCCGTGTCTGAGAAGTATCTCACAAATGCATTTTTAAAAACACTGCCAAAAGGGGGATGCCTCGCTCACAAAGCCGCAACGTGTTTCAGTCACTATATCGCTAGCTGACGTCCATTATCGGACAGCTAGCAGTGTTCAAGTCGTGAATGCACTTCTTAAAGCGTGCTGCCCGGCTACATGTTGAGCACGTTTCGGAAACCAATGCTACACCACGAATTTCACACTGGACACGCATATACATGTTAAATAGCTTTCTTAATAAACATGTGTAGTTTAGCTTGCTGGCTAGCCTAGTAGCTAACAGCTCGCCGTTGTCTGGGGAAAAAAAGACCACCGAGGGTGAAGTATCGCTTAGCTGAGGCTAGCTCACAAAACACTGCAGCAACAGTCAGCCTATAAGTAACTGGGCAAAGAAAAATAAAACACTCAAACACAGTGAGACGAAGAAAATAGTTAAAGCAAAGTAAACCACAGGTCATAACATTGCAATGTAGCACATGGGTTTAAATGTAGCTGTTTCATGGTTATAACTTGTATTCTCGTTCCCCAACCGCCAGCCCCGAATCTCAGACTCACCCTGTCACAACAGGCGCCATCTTCCACAAACTCTCACCAAAACTCCAATACTCGCGATATCCTTTTCTCTCCCACAGCCCGCAACAATCCGCCGAGACAACAGAAGCAGACTGAAGGTGTAGGGACGAGGGAGACGGAGAGAAAAGGGGGTGGGTGAGGAAGACAGAGGGAAAAAAGGGGGAGGCGGCGAATGAGAGTGAGCGAAAAGGGCAGACGCCACAACAACAGGCGTGGGAAACTTCCAAGATCACGCGAGAGTTGGAAAACTCTCACAATAGGCGCACACTGAGGGAGCGTCCCCTATCGCGAGATGTGCGTGGAGTGGAGAAGTTGTTTATCTTGTGGCGCTGAAATACTATTCCCACGTGTTTACCGGGTAATAAATTGCAGCACCGACTGGTATACGGCTCTAGTTGTGAGCAAACTCGGTTTTCCCAGGCTCAAACAGATTTGTTTAGTATGCATCCTGTCTCCCCATGTGTCTCTGCAGTGTTCAGCAGTAACAGCTGCATGTTATTATAGCTATTTTTATTCTACAATACTTCCCGAATAGTATACACAACATGCATGAGAGGTGATGAAACTGCAAGGACACGCTGATTTAAAATAAGAGTGGCATTTAAAGGGTTTCTGCACAACAAATGTACAATTCCCGTGGGTAACATTGCAGTTCCTGTTTAGAATCTGGAAACAATGGTGTGAACACATGTGAATAGGCCATACAGGGCAGATTAGTGCATTGCCATCACATTGGGGAGCCCCATGACCAACCTCCTCACAGCCAAAACCTCAGCCAAAGTACAAGGGAGGCTGTTATTTAGAATGATCATGACTGGAATTGTAGCCTGTGCTTTTAGCCTTTCTGTTTGATTTGGTTTCTCCCCCAGCCAGAGTGCATTAGCTAATGTTTGTGTCTTGTTTCATCCCCAGTTCCCCACCCTATGAGTCAGGTCAGACTTGTTTATCTGGGAGGGGTCAGAAAGCCATAAACCTTCATGTAGGTCCATGTTGTCTCAACAGCCTTCATTTAAATCTACCATCTTTGTTCACCTTACAAGTGACTTCTTGTGGGTGTTTTTACTAACTAAAGCCAAAGTGAAGGTTTCTGAGACCACACTGATAGCAAGCCGATTTACTCGTTTGTTAGATGTTGTGTTTGATCTGATTTGAGGCTTTTTCCAGGAAAAAAGTGTCCGTTAGCAGAACAAATAAAGAGCAAAAGTGACAAATACAATACAAATAGTTGGCAGAGTTGACACCATGTTAAAATGCATTGAATACTTTATACTACACACTTAGTTTATACTTAAAATATGTTGGTCTGATTGTTTAAAGAGATGACATTTTGGGAACAACGCTCATTTGAATTCTTGCCCACACTAACCCTAACCCTAACCCATGAGACCAGAAACTGATGATTTTACAATGTTATAGACTGAAAAAATGTGAATATGATATTAATTAAGTTAATTGAACTGTCTGCTTGCTCAAACTTCATTGTTACATTATTTTAAGCATACTTTACAGCATATTGTACTCTTTCTTTTTTTATGAACAATTCAAGTAATTACAATTCTTAAAAACAATATTTTTGCCAAACTATCCACCTAGAGACTGCCACTTCTGTCAGTATAAATCAGCAGTTACGATCTTCTCCAGTGTTCAATGTACACATTTCATATTTTCAGATACATAATTCCTTTTTACGGAGCTTCACTGGTGTGCCAGAAAGAAATGGGGAGAAAATGTTTAGATAAATTAGTTGTGCGGATGAGGTTTTGCATGAGAGTGTGCCCGCACTATGAAGACACAGAGACGAGGACCTCATCCTGCCCTCAACCATTTTTCCTTTCCCTCTCTTTTTTATAGTCGGCGGAGAACCTCCAGTTACACTCTGAGTTGAATGGGGAAGCATAAAGTTTCCTCAAATGTTTTACAGCTGAACACAGTAAAAGAAAAAAGGCTGCACAAGTGAAAGTACTTTTCAGAGAATTTGGATTGAAATAGAGAAGAGGCCTGTTTTCTTTTGAGGATATGTTAACGTTCAAATTAAGATGTATTCAGGATTTGACCTTTTTGACTGTAGTAAAACATATACATGGTTTAAAGACCACTCATACATATTATTTAGGTTTCCTTGAGGCAATCTTTGCCATTTTCCAGTTTATTTAATCTGGAAACATGACTTTTTCAATTCTTTCTGAAAAAGTATTCACTGGCATGACAAAAAGCACCAGTTCTCCATGTTATTTTTACAATCAATGACCATGGAGTGAGCTTCTACATCTGTCTCAATCTTCCCCAAATGTCCCGTTCTCTCATTAGGAGTAAAAACACTTTATTTTAATTGAGACGCAGCCAATTCAAGCAATCATGACTAAGCCATAAGCCTCAGGTCTATAAATCCACTCACTTGACTGCTTAAGCTCGTGGATCAGATGGAAAGGGTGATTGAGATAGAGTCTTGTCCCTATGTGGAAACTGCTCCAGAAGAGTTACCCATCTGTTTTATTTTACATAGATTTGGCCTACATACTGTCCATTTGTAAAATGTATTATTTGTGATACAACACTGCTATTTGTTCGTAAAAAGGTCACCGAATGAAGAAACTTAGTGATTGTACAGATTCAAAGTAAATCCTCGTGATTCTTTTTCTCTTGAGGGCTAAGCTGAAACTACATAAGGAGGAAATTAACAAATTCTGTTCTGTAGTCCGGGCATTTTTTTTAAATCCTACTAAGCCCTTATTGTACAAAATTGAAAGGGGAGAAATTATTTTTATGTGCAGTTTTGAGAAGTGAAAAGAGAAGAGGGGAGAAAGCAAACTAATTAAGGAAATACTGTTTCTTGATAAGCAGCCCTTTGACTCAAAGTCAATTGATAGAGCCGGAGGGTGATGACACTTCCTGAAATTAGCAGACGCACAGTCAGAGTGAGAACCAGTGATAGACAGAGATAGGTGGGTCTCAAGACACTGGGTCAAATGTTAGACAGACAAGACGATAACATGGACATGGCAGGAAACCAGAATTTGACACCTCATGCGACTCAAAAACAAACCTTTCATGCCAAAGAGCAACTTCATGATATCACATTCCCTCCGTGAACATCACAAGATGAATGTATGGAGTCTGGCTCGTGTGAGTCTGAGTTCACAGCAGAGGGAAGGGCGTCCCCGTCTGTCCATCCGTCCAATATGTCCATCTGTCTTGCTCTCCAGCCACACGGGAAAACCCAGGGGTGGACGAGGGCAGACAGCTAAGGAGGACGATGCTTCCGAGGTGGGCACGCCTTTACTCTCCTATTGCCCTCTTTTTTCACATGACTTCCATTACAATTAAGTCCTGAAGACATCAGAGAGAGAAAAATGACATGGTGATAAGTTAGCAGACTGTCAAGGGAGCTAAAGTGCCTGTTTTGCAAGCCTATTCTTTTGAAATAGAGGCGAATCGGAGGCATTAGGAAAGAGATGTTTCCTGGACCCATACGGTTCACGGTGAGTTCAAGCTGCCACAGGTCAACGGGGTGAGAGCGGCAGAAGTGTGATTTTTGGCAGCTCTGACATAGTGTCAATGTGAAAAAACAAGTGATATGATTGACTCATGGCTCCTTTGTAAAATCCCCTAGAGTACGTTAAGGATCAGAGAGTTGATGGCGTTAATGAAAGCCTTTATAATCAAATCAGTTCAGCTCCTTCATGATGATAATTGCCTGTCTATTTTATAGCCTTTCATACTGTTGTAATAGAGCTTTATTGTATGCTTTCGCAAGCATGGCACAATCACAAGGACCCATAAATCAGTTAGCGCCATGGTTATCAACAGAAGCACAAAAAGATACAAAAAGCAAAACACTGAGTTCTTCCTCCGTAACCTGAAGAAGATGTCATCTCTGAAACTATAGTACTTTTCCAATTCTCCTGGTGAGGATTGTTCACGTCAGATTTCATTCTAGTTTTCACAAGGGGGAGGCCTCTTCATAAAAAGTTATATGAGTGCCGGTCTGGGATGACTTGGCTCTGTTTCTTGTCGCCATCTTTTTAAATCAGCCTCAGGGTATTGCACTTTGATTAAAAAAGCAGAGTTGATCACAAGCTCTGAAAATGTGTTGAACGCATTATGTTATGGAAAGAAAAAAAACAAGTCTGAAATTGTAAAATGGGGATTTTTTTGGAAGTGAAGTTGGTCAGTAGGCCTAAATGAAGTGAAATCCCACATTTGTGGCCATCAAATCATCTTTTTGACTTGCTGTATATGAAACACATTGCATTGCATTGTGACATTTCACTGGAGAGAAATCATATCTACAGAATTCAATGGAAGCTCTGAAAATACATAAGGAGGATGTTTTATGATTTATTCTTTAAATAATACCCCTTTCATCAAGAGTAAACATAGAAGATTTAATTCAACCCTGCGCGTTAAAGGTTTGACATTTTGAGAAATACGCCTATTTGCTTTCTTGGCAAGCGTTAGATAAGTAGATTAATACCAAACTTGGTAAATACGAAGGGACAGCTAGCAGCCAGTAAGCTTAGCTTGGACAGGAAGCAGGAAGAAACAGCTAGCCTGGCTCTATCCAAATGTGGGCTGGAAAAATAAATCCTTCTTCCAGTCCCTCCAATGATGACAAACAAAAAACTTGTTTGTTCAATCTGGGGACCTTACGAAAAAAATATGGCTAGCTTCTTCCCCCATTTATTATGCTATGCTATTGTTAGCTAACCACCAAACAGTCAGTTAGCTTAGCCATGCTCTGTCCAAAGCAAAAAAAGGTTCTGCTTTCATAATAAACATGGGCAAACAAAAGTGTGTAAACAAGTTTGTTGTTTTAGTGGGAGTTGCGTTGGGTAGCCTTTTTTAAAATTGAGATATTGAGGCTAGCCGTTCCACCTGCTGCTAGTCTTTATGCTAAGCTAGGCTAACCATGTCTCTAGCTCTGAACCTGCTTTTGATATTAGTTTTACCATCTTAAAGCAGTTTTTTAAAACACTGTCTTAACAACTAAAATTCTAGAGGTTCAGTTGCTCTTTTAGGGATTAAAAGTCAAGAAAGGAGAACGTTAGTGAGTGAAGCAAATACGTAATGCTCTCCAATTCCTCAACAGCTACCACTAAGTATCCCTTAAGCAGCATATTAAGCATAA